AATTCACTTACAAATAAGCCAAATTTTAACTTGTCACCATGGCATTTGACATGATAGCCTGACTATAAGATCCGTGAAGTCTGGCTCATTGTAGGAAGGGATCTTCCTTGGATCATTTCCTCGTAATCCATTACATCAGGAGATTTGTACCGTTGAAATTTGATCTAATGGCTGAAGGTATTATAACTTTTAAAGTGGACCCCTGTTTGTAGCCGTTGGATCATATTTCAACGGTACGGATTCCTTGATCTGATGGATTAGGAGAAAGGGATCCGGAGAGGATCCCTTTCCCTCATTGTATACATCTTTTTCCTTTTAAGTTTTAACATTATTATCTCCTCTTGTACTAATGTACTTTCACATTTTCTTTTTGACTGATTTTTATGTGCAATTCATAGAACTTGATTTTAATTTCATTTTACTTTCTGAAATTTAAAAGTTTCGATTTTCGTGTTTCAAGAGGCAAACTGAGATTAAAAGCGAGTTTTAAAGAACAAAGCAGTTACTTTTGAGTTTCAAGAAGCAAAGTGGCAACTTTTGTGTTTCAGGGGGCAAAGTGAGACCAAAATCAAGTTAATCAAGTTTCAGGAAGCAAAGTGGCAACTCTTGTGTTTCAGGGGGCAAAATAAAATCAAAATCGAGTTTCAGGAAGCATATGTAAAAATATGCCCTTCCATTTTCCCACTTGATATATAAGTGTTCGTGTAGTAAAGTTCAATTCTCCAACAAATAAATTTGTAATTATGTTGAGAAGCAACATGATACCATCTTCGTTTGCCATCAACGAGAGAGCAAAGGAGTACATGCAATAAAACTTCGACAATCAAGTTAGTAGGTGTTCGATATAATTGCATGAGAATTTAAGAATAATTTCAGATGCACACCTTCAAACAAGTCTACTTAAGTTCTCCCATTATTCTTTCCCATGAAAGAAGTTACAATCAGCTGTCAAAACAAATAATTTAAACCTAATCATTCGTCAGGAAGATACTATAACAATAAAGCAGTCACCAAATTTATTTACCACACATACATTGCTCATTGAATCTCAAACTCTAATAATTCACAAGTTTTCTACACTCCGAATCATTATAAAATTTTCGAAAACGATGAACAACATCGTGCTACGCAAGATGAAAAGATCTGACGGGAATCACAAAATGAAGACATAATTAAATGTTTAGAAGTAATCGTAGTCGCAAAAAAGATTTGAAAACAACAACTTGGTGCCGTTGAAATGGTGGTGTCGCCGTCACCAATTGGCCTCTCTTTCCCTGATGGCAACATCAAGCAAGTTGGCTGATATTGGTCTACAGCTTACTGCTGACCCTCTTCTGAGCTTTCATTCTGCACCGTTGGTTCCTCACCACCAAAGCCTTCAACTAGATATTATTTTTCTTAAATTTTTTGTCCTTGTAAGGACCTAAATCAAATAAATAAATAAAAATAAGAAAACAACAAGTCTTGGAAATAGGAAAAGGGAATAATATGAATAAATTATAGGACAACTATGTTTTGTAGTCATATTTATTATTTTAAAGAAAAGAAGATATTATATATTTATTGAGTTATTAACCTACGGAAATGGACGCACAAGGACCCACTATAGACTGTAGTGCCTCATTTGGAAATTCAATCGATAATTGGCTACCTCTCTTGATCAAAATGTTGCACGTCCTTTTTGTGCGTAAAATGACCAAAAACACCCTCTCTTTTTTTTTGAGTGAAAGAAATTTCATTAAAAATGATCAAACACATACATACGATAAACATGTTAAATGTGTCTTTTAGAACAACTCAAGAACCTATGCATGTCAGAAGAACAGCACAACCCTACAATTATAAACACATCAAAAATACAGTACAATTATTCAATCATGAATGATCCTTAGTCCTAAACTCTAAACCCTACTCATGAGAACTAAAACATTGCAAGCCCGAGAATTAATGTAGAGACTCCACGAGGAAAATATTACACCAATCTCTAATAATTTTGCAATCCTTAGCAAAGAAGCTCTACTACGAGTGTTGAGTTTTCTTCTCACAATCTTTTGCTGGAGTACAAATGACAAAAAGCACCACTTCAGATTCAAACAATAATCGCTGTTCTAGAATTTAAGACTGAAGAAACTATGATCCACAACCATAAAAACTCTCATCGACAAAGCAAAGAACAACCATAACTATGAACTGAAAGCTCTTCTCGATAAGATCGAGAGAGTGACTACTACTAGAACAAAGAGGAGAAAAAATGAAGAAAACAAGAAGGATTTCCGACACCCCAACGCCAAAGGTAGGGGTTGGCGACTATGATATATTTTTTTTCTTTCTCTTGTTGTTTACCAAAAACACCCCAAGTATGTATCAGGTTCAATGGATGTTAACTCAAATACATCTATAGTTCAGATATGTCCGTCTTGGGATCTTTGACCTCAGAATTATGTAGTTCTAGTCTTGGCAAGCGAAATCAGTGAAATAAATTCAAGATTTTATTGAAGGACAATCGTTCATAAGCACACATAATTTGACGTTTTTATATAGGGATGTGATACACACACACACTATTTTTTACTTCTTACACACTCTTCTAATTTTTAGCAATTGGATCAAATGAATTGAAGAAGATCAAATGACCAAAATCAGTAAGAGTGTGTGAGAAGTAAAAAGAAATGTATAGATAGCACACCCCTTTATATATGCGATAAACACGTGGAAGGACTTGACCCACATTCGATCTTAATATAAGCTATGTTTTAGTTAAGGTGGATCATTCACAGGCACGTGAACGATCTTGGATCGTTGACAAGAGTGGATGTAAGTGTATGTACTCATCATTTAAGCACATGTTAACCACTCTAAATCCTCAATCACGCAGCGTAACTTTACTATCACGTTATCATTACTTAACATAAGTTACTTTGCTTTTTTAGATTAATTAGGTGACCAGCTTTAGTACCCAAATCTGCTAGAACACTTGCTTTCTTATTTACAATGTGTTTCATGCAAGGCAGAATTTGTCTTTTGAAGAAGTTGCTTGAACAAATAGTTGCATGAAGAGGTCGTCTACGGTAAGTGGAGTGTGAGCAATCATTTTATTACAATTTTGTATGGAAAAGATGATGTACTAGTTATTTGAGGTTTGAGCTTGATTAGGCAAACATATGATTTTTAGAAAATGGAGGTGAATTGTCTGCCCTCCCATTTTCATACTCTTCTAATGCCCTCATGTTTGTGTGATCACGGTTAAACCACGTTAACATTTTATATTCCTATTATTTTTTGTTTTATTATTTCTATAAAAAATAAATATAAAATGATGACATGGCTTATCCGTGACCACACATCACAGGAGGGCATGAAGAGAGTATGAAAATGGGAAGGTAGACAATCTACCTCCTTAGAAAATATTAGAGAGAGAGAGTAATGTAATAATTTAATTGTCGAAATAATAGAGGGTATTTGTGACATTTAAACTGATCATTAAAGTGGTGCTTCATTGTCAAATGATTTGTTAGCCAGTTAAACTCCATCATGCAATGTAATCACAGAAAAAGCCAAGGTTGATTTCGTAAGATTAGTGAAAGAGTACTGTATTTTTGTTTTCTTGTACTTACTAATACACGGCTTTCTTTCATTGTGAGACACAACACTAGTCTCAATATAATTTCAGGTTTGTATTCTATATTAAGAGGAAGGGGTAGGGTTAGCCTTTAATAGACTAGTAATATGTGGTTCAACTATACGAGAATCGAACTTAAGATATTTTACTTACAAGTGAAGAAGAATACTACTATACCGTAATACTAAGTGATGTCAAACACATATAATTATCGCACGAATAACGTACTCTAACACCACGTGTTGCTATTGCGAGTGATATTTTTTGTTTGGAACAAAGATAGTAAAGTATTTGCATGTATACTTGTCCGGTGCATTCACTTCCCGTATTTGGAATCCAAATGATACAGAGAATAGAAGAGTGAATTATAGAAAAATGTACGAGTAAATACTCTTATATTTCGTTGACAAACTGATTGTATATAGGAGTTAGAATCTTACTTTTATAATATTACCTAAATAATATGAATACTAATTCCATCTGAATCTAACCATTTTCATGGAAGAAGAATACCAGTCAGCCAAATACTAGGAAAAAGTGGGACCAACCGAGAATTATAATCAACAATTAATTGATATAACCTATCATTAGAGAGATTTTTTTTCTGTCATCGGAATACGAGATGGTACATCACGTGTTATTATACAAATAGTGGAATATATGTATTAAAAAATTAATAACTTAAAAAATAAAAATTTTCACTACTTGCATAAAAACAATTGATATACTCTACGTGTTTCTGTCATAATAAAAAATTTCTCCTATCATAAGCTTTCTCAGTTCCTTAATCAAATGACCAGATAGCACGTGTCACCCAACTGACATGAGGAGACGGTCGGAGATCACGGGTTCATAAAAAAGCAAAGGTGGTGGTCGGTTGTAACACGTGGCGGACGGAGAGCAGACAGATCGGGTCGGGAACAGTCCGCGTAAGCACCCGCGAGGGCTGAAGTTGTTGAGCAGCTTCACACAAAACCTCCTACAAATTGGCAGCTGGCTCGGACACGTCGGACCCCACCGAAAAGTAAACAAAATAAGAAACTTTAACAAATAACTCTTAGTACTGTTTATTTTAAAGAAAAACTAATGAAAAGAGTTTGAAAACTTTGAGTTTTAATGATAAAAATAAAATAAATGGTAAAATAAATAATATCAGAATTGACTTTTAAGTGTAAAAATATGATTTTGCGTTAAAGTAAACAATACATTTTCGTTAAAACTCTCATATTTTAATGAAAAATTATATTTTTACATTAAAAAATCAATCTTAATACTATTTATTTTACCTTTTATTTTACTTTTATTTTACTTTTATTGTTAAAATTTAAAGTTTCCTAATCATTTTAATTAGTTTTTCATCAAAATATCCCAGTAAGTAACCGGCCATGGGACCTCCTACGGTCTGACTTCCTATACACGCTCCGAGATTTTTCCAAGAAGCTAAATCTCGTGCCTTGTATATATAGGAGACAAAGAGTGAAGCGCTCTCTCTCAAGCTACGTCTTGTGAGCTTCGCTGCGGGTGCGTCGCCGAAAAATTCATTAGTTTCTCCCGACCTTGATCCGAAAACTCACCGGAGTCGGCCGGAAAATTGAACAAGTGAGTTCACGGAAATGCTTTTTTTACTACCCAGGGATCTGAATATTTAGGTTTTCGTGTGAGCCCCATTGAGTGGCTTTGGTATGCGTTTTACCGATCCGATTTTCCTGGAAAGTATAATGAGTGGCATGAGAACTTTCGATTTTCCGGGAAAATTGCGAAACTTTCTCACGTGCTTGGCTGATTTGATTTTTGTTTGGTTTTTACAGGTTAAAGAGTGAGTCGGAAGCAAGAAAGGCAGAGACTTTTTGTAGATCCGATTAAAATTTCCAAGCTTTATAAATACAAAGCATTTTGCAAATTTATCAAATTTTTATTCACATTTTTCTCTGATCTGGGAAGGCAGAGAGAAATGGTTGTGAAAGTTGCTTCGACCTGCTTGCAATGGTCGCAGTCGATCGTTCCTCACTCGACGCCGTCATCTCAAGCGCTAGCCTTCTCAATCGCTTCTCCTTCCTCAAAACGACGTAACAGAGGCGGCGGTGGAGGTCAGTTATGTCTCTACGTTCACAGCTTGAGCCGGTCGGCGTTGTTCGGTGCGCCGTCGACGAAGCTGAGCCGGTCCCGGTCCTGCGGCTACCAGAAGCCGAGATTCCGGTCCATTAGACGAGCTTGCAGTGCCAGTCTGGACGCCTTCTCAGACGAAGAGTTCTCGAAGAAGATTCAAGAGCTCGCTCTCAGATTCCAGCTCTCCGACAATTTTGACGGCGAAGATGACTTTAACGTTGACCGAAACGCCTCGGATTCGGAACCGGAGGCGGCGAATTCTGATGACAATCACGGCGTCAGTGAGTCTGCAACGAGAATGAGATTTGAACAGAACCAGAGCCGGTTCCAGTTGCCGCTCGATCTAGAGCCACCGTGGCTGACCGATTGGCAGCGGAGGGACGAGATTGTGGCGGAGGTTAGCATCGAGCGGAAGGCAAACAGCGTCGACCTTCCGCTCTCTCTCCGAATCATCAAGCGGAAGATGCAGTGGCAGGAGGGTTTCCGAGAAGCAGGGGAATCTGCGTGCTGCTCTGTAAAAAAGGCCTTCTCTTCCATGGTGTTCATAATCCGAGAGCTCCATAGCTACACGTTGCAGATGAGAGAGATTCTCTTCTTCGAAGATTTGCAGGGGATTTTAAGCAGGGTGCAGAAGGAGATGCAAGCTTCGTTCGTCTGGCTATTTCAACAGGTCTTCTCTCAGACGCCGACTCTAATGGTGTATGTAATGATCCTCTTGGCAAATTTTACTGTCTACTCATTAGGCCACAACGCCGCCATTGCGGCTGCTCCGCCGATTGGGTTGTACGCCAGTGCAGCAGAGACTATTTCAATGGAAGAAGTTCACACTGAGAACGATAAATTGGATAACCCCCAATATGATTCTTCCACAAGTAAGTCGTTTTCAGTGAGCGGCAACAGCAAGACGACATCTGTAGGCGGAAACAATGGCGGTGGAGGGAAGGTCCGACCGGTAGGTAGCGGCACAGACGGTGACGGCCGGTTTGACCGGTCAGACCAGTACCGGACAATAGTCCCCGACGGGGCATCCCAATTGTCCTCATTCGGGACAACCAGAGAAGCAGAGTCGGTTTCGGGGCAAGAGAGCAGGGAGGAGGAGCTGGCTCTGTGGAATTCAGTAGTGGAAGAAGCTCATCAAATGCGGGGCGTACAAGAATCTCTGGATCACGAAACGATGCAGAGATTTGTTTCGCCGGTGACGGCGAATATCGAGGCGGATGATTACGCCGAGTACTTCAGAACTGAGCTTCTTTACCGAACGGAACTGTCCATGGAGCCTAGCAACGCTCTGCTTCTTGCTAATTACGCGCAGTTCCTCTACCTAGTTGCTCATGATTATGACAGGTACTGTTCCATTTCTTCAAATTTCTCATAATATATTAATTTTAGTGCTTAATTCTAATTTTCATGCTTTAATAGTTACGGTACAGTGATATTCTTTTTCACTTATAGATGAGAGGTTTTATGTTTGATTCTCGTTAAAGACGAATTTGAACCACATTATTGCTAACTCATCATGAGGTTATTCGCAGCCCCTTCCATTAGTGTATATAATATCGTTTACTAAAAAAAAAAAAAAATTATGTTTTAATTAATTTCAATTTCTAATGTTCATGTCCTTAAATTTGTTGGGTCAGTAATATTATATCATGGTACGAATTAAATTTTGGTGCTGACGGCTAAAAGAGGAGTGTTAAAATTGCTAACGAAAAAAAATTTCTAGTGGACAGTAGTTTATTCAACGAGAAAAGTCTTGGTCTTGTTTTTTATTTTATTTGTCGTAGTGTTTAAATGTGGTGATGGCATGATAGTGAAGTGTGTGGTGCTCTTTCCGTTCTTGGCAAAAATCATCGTGAGTTTGGTCAGCTCACGCCCTTTACATGAAATATCTTTGCTTTGATTTCTTAGGGAAGTTTCTAATTTGTTTGTTTAATGAACAGAGCTGAAGAGTACTTTAAAAAAGCCGTACGGGTGCAACCGCCGGACGCGGAGGTGTACAACAAATACGCGACGTTTCTGTGGAGGGCTCGGAACGACTTGTGGGCGGCAGAGGAGACGTTCTTGGAAGCCATCTCGGCTGACCCAAGCAACTCCTTCTACGCCGCTAACTATGCTCATTTTTTGTGGAATACCGGTGGTGAGGAAACTTGCTTCCCTCTCAACTCCGCAGAGACTAATGACATCGAGATGCATAGTAAATAAAAAGAAGAAAAAAAAAATCCAATCAATAAAAGAAAAAAGGGGCACAAAAGAGATACCAAGAACAGCAAGCAGTAGACTTATGTAACGGAATTCATTGGGACATTATTCTAAGTCAAATGCATGGTAGTGCGTATTAGCTTGGGATTTGTTACATTAGCATTTCCAATGTAAGTAAGTTTCTATCTACAACGCCAACAAGCGGAGCCGGCACCTTCCTTAATTTTCCCAATTTTACTCGGAATATGGTATTAGAAAACCTAAAAAGAAAAAGGAAAACACAGAAGCGAGAGGTACTGTATTTTTATATTTGTTTGTTGATTCCTCAAGTTTTGGTGGGGTGTGGGAAAATGGGGTGGTGGCGTTTGGGGCGGAGGGCAAGCACGGGACGGCGGACGCAGTCACATGCGCGGCAAAACGTCAGCAACAATTGCAGTGTGTTTGCCTGATGCGCGGAAGTGGTTTGCTTGTGCACAGATTATCGTGTCCATTTTGTTAATTATATATTTTTTGGTTGGCACAATCACATGGCAAAAGTGTAATTAGCGTCCTTGTTAATATATGCCATTTTGAAGTTTACTATAATTTCTTCTAAATTTTTAATACAACTTGTCAACGAGATCACGTGTTTCACGTGCATTTTATTTACTGGTATCGGTCATTGGCCTCCTCCTTCGTCCTAGGAATGATTGCTTCTGAAAACCCCTCTGGAAATTTGTGCTGTTCACTTAGTGATTGGTGGGGTATGATTACATTGTGAACTTCGCTGATTTGTTTCGGTCGGTGGTTGGTTGATAAGAAACATGAGTACCCTTTGTCTAAAGAAACAATGATGACACAATACCACAATAAAATGCTGATGATGCATGGGGGACTGAAAAATGGGGAGTCCCAATCTTAAGTGAAGTGTAAAAACACTCCTAATGCCAAAAATATACGATGTACAACTGCTTCTTACATTATACAATTCATACGAGTAGTGGCGGATGTACATTGAGATTATGATGGTCTCATACCATCTGAAGTTCGAGAGGTATATATGTAAAGGTCTTTCAAGGACCCTCCGAATGTTTGAAACGGTTCTGTTTTTTGTGTCAACCAAGTATTTAATGTAATGTTTGCTAGATATATCTTGACATATTTAGTCAACAGAACTCAACAAATTGTCTTGATATCACTCATCAGATTGCTTCAGCATATGTCGATATCTGTTGACATGTGTGCAATATTGTTTGGCAGATGACAACAAGCCAACTATGTTTTAGACGAAATCCCTAAGTGAATAATAAACTGAATTTTTTTTGTGCATTTGGCGTTCTGTTTCTATCTAAAAAACTTATACTTTAACACCAAGACTCCCAATGTTTGAATCCTAAATCCATCATTACGCACGAGTGACTATGTTGTTGAATTCCGTATACGCTTCTAGTTCCATGTCAGAATATAGTAAATTCTCAAAGGATGAGGGTTCCACAGGACAACATATAGATTTGACGAAAGAAGTAGTGAACACAAAACAAAGCAACGAAGAGTCATTTTTTTGATGCATAATGTGCACGTATAGTCGTATACTCATATATAAATGCAAATATTGGCCACATAAATAGTAGCATCCTTCTTCTTTTTCTTCCCTTTTAATAGAATTTCAATCATGTAAACTTTAGCAGTTTAGACCTTAGAGGGTGCATAAAGCTCAGCTCAACGCGTAGTGGCATGGGAATTGGAAGTGTTTGCTTTAGAAAGTCAAATATGACTAGACACATACCTATGTTATATAGTATTGATAAAGATGAAGAATAATATTATAGCGGTGGGAGACGAATGGATGCATATAAGAAGAAAATAGGTTGGTTTGGGAATTGGGATTCAGTTAGTCCAACCAGAAAATGACGATCTACCACGTGAAATCAAAGATGTTGTTTAATTATCCTAACACAACCTTCATGTCTCCATTCATCCTCCCATATGCCTCCCCATGCCTCTCTCTCAGACTCTCTCATTCGTCGGTTACCAATCATATGGGTTGGGTAGTTATTAGTTTTGGGTAAATTTTGGTAGATAATATGGCAATAATAATATACCATAACAACAAAATCTTATTCCATTAAGTGAGGTTGGTTGTATGAATTCTAGAGCATCATTGTTCTCAATTTTGCTTCAAGTCTTTCGTTAACTCTAAATAGTTCATGTATTTTCTTAAAATCTATTTTCAAATCTTCATCTACTCCTTTTGCCCTGAATCTCTGTCTCATAATCACATTTTCTAATTGGAGCATTTGTAAGTCGTCGTTTCCCATGTCCAAACCACCTTAACCGATTTCTCTCATCTTATCTTCGATTGTGTAGACTCCTACATTATCTCAGATATCCTCGTTCTTTTTCCTGTCATTTCTTGTGTGCTCACACTTCCAACGAAGCATTATCATCTTCGCTACACTCATTTTCTGCACATGTTGATGCTTGACCGCCTAACATTCTGTGCCGTAAAGCATTGTTGGCCTTATTGCCACCCTATAAAATTTTCCCTTGAGCCTTATGGTCGCACAACACATCCCATACACTCTTCCACTTCATTCATCCAGCTTGTATTCTATACTTGAGATCTCCATTCAATTCTTTGTTCTTTTGTAATATAGATTCAAGATAATGAAAGAGTTCACTCTTTGGTACTTCTTGATCTCCAATCCTTACTCTTATCTCATTTAGACCCCTATTTTCACTAAACTTACACTCTATATACTCTGTCATTGACCAAAAAACTTTTAAAAATACCAACCCTTCTTACCGGAGGTTAAGCTTCAAAATAACCATATATAAATGTAATTTTGCTAGCATCGATAATACATGCAGGAGTCGGTCTGACTATGAACAGTTTACTAATACGAAACTCTATCAAATTCATTTGACTATAAACTGTTAACTGATGCGAAACTCACTTTAATTCTATACCAATCAACAAGTGTCAATCCTTAGGCGTGATAATGACAGTTGATGCGAAGATATCTTATTTTGGATTTCCACCTGTTCCCTCTTATGGTTACTAGTATTTTGTTGTTAACATAATCATTTGCTTTTTCTCTAATTCTCCAAAGAAACGAGGTTACCATACACAAATTTCTTGAAAGAAACTCATTCAAAAACCATGCTTACACGTTGAGCAGAAATTGCGAATGAATCTTAACTGCACATGCAAACGGTTATTAATCATAGAATCGTTAGTAATTGGGTATTAACGTTTCACAAATACGTATTATATGATCTATATATTCACCCAAGTTTTTCTTTGTATAAAGGCACTGCGATTGGTGTTATGTGCTTAAGGATGATTCACTAAACACAATTAATAAAATATATCTTGCGTGGAAGTTTTACTTACGTGTCAACCAAGAACTCTTAGTTACATCGATAATGCAAATTAGTCTTTAAACTCGACGCACGATGGTTGCCTTATGATATATTGTTGATCTTTGGTAATACTATATAGTCATGTACGATAAAGGACGCAGCTCAAGACATTTTGATTCTTCTAGACATTTTAGTAATGTGATTCAGTAGAGAGACGTGCTCTGAGATATATATATATATATATATTTGTTATTATTAAGGGGAGGGGGAGGTTTTGAATATGATTAGGAAAAATTGTCTGAGCATATTCATGCAAACATATAGACTCAAGACTTGACAATAGAGACTTGACATTAATTTTGTGCTCTAGTAATGTGATAAAAAAAACGTTGAGTTATTAGATAGTGGCTGTATTGTGTTGCAATTCCAACTTAATAAGTTTTCTAGCTCGGATAGTAATAACATAATAGGTGTTACTCGTACTCATATATTAATAAATTTAAGGTAAAGCTATCCACATGCTCATTTTTCTTTTTCTCTCAAGTTTTGATTGTCGGATCGAATGAATGACGGAAGATTCTTGACCAAAATTAACAAAGGTTTGTGAGAAGTAAAAATAGGTGTGTGATTAGTACTTTCTTATATTTAAGTTTGGGAAAACCAATAAGTTAATTAGTTTGGATTAAATAAATCTTAAAATCAATTAAAAATGTTAATTGAGATTAATTATATTAATTAATAATACAGTACAAAGATGTCACACGGGTTATAAAGATAGTTTAAGAGTTTCTAGACCTATTGAGCTTTTGACCTATGCATGACAAATTATTAAAGAAGAAAAAAAGGGCCATGAATAGGCATGAGGCCATGGTAAGTACGGAAAGTCAAAAGCTCAAATTTTGGGTGGTTTACTTTAGTTAATACAATTTTATAGGATATAAATTCGGGAAATGATTTTCGCAATTTTTTTATCTTTTATGTATATATTTTATTTGTAATTATTGGATTGAATAAATTAAACACAATCAACAAACAAGTTAAATATAGATGTGTGGTAGGCCAGAAGGATATGTACATGTCTATTATTTCCCAAACCCAGAACTCATCCTTAACAACCCTAGAGGCTAGCCACCTAGAGGATATCCTGCCAACACTGAATCCTCGTCTTTATCTCTTTCGGAGATTGGTATGAAGACTTTGGAGGTCTTGTATTTGTGAGACTTTTGGAAAGCCAAGAAGACTTTGGAGAGAAGGCATTTTCAACAAAGATACATGAGAATATTTTACCTAAAGATACATGAGAATTACTTAAGAACTTAAACTCATGCTAACTAAAGTTTAATTACTTCCATTGCCATGTTTGATTTTGTAGCATGTTATTGTGTAAAAGGACTAGAGAAAATTAGTTTCCTCAAATAGATGCAGACAACAAACGTCCCCAACCTCATGGGTACATTTAAGGTGGAAGGTGCAGTCGCATAGGGCCTCAAATTTGAAGGTGCTTCCAAAATTTTTTGTTATCTAATATTTATATGTAATAATATTCTATATTTAAAAATTACTTTTGTTATGTAAAAATGTTCTATATTAAATTTTTTTTTTTTTAGCACTTCAAATTTCATTGTGCACTCCTTATAAGTGTATTTTTTTTCTCTAAGTATAAAAATTTGGAGTATAATGAGATATTTTGAGTGCAAACAATAACACCTTAAAAATGGTATTGTTTTCAATTATATTATATAATAATGTTATATATTCAAGTGAAACTTCAAAGTTAGAGCTTTTGAAGTTTTTCCTTTTTTTTTTTTTTTTTTTTTTTTTTTTTTTTTTTGTTTAAGATTGAACTGCTTTTGATTATTTAGTGAACGTTATGTTTGTAGGTCTTTATACTTATTATTAATGACATTTTAAACTTGCAATCAGTGAGTGCTAAACCTTATTTTAATTTAAGTGATTGTTTTCTAGCGTCAATACATTGTTCTACCTTTTTTAAAACTATCTTAAGGAAGGGACCTTTTATAAATTTCGCACAAGGCTCCCAAAATCTCAAAGACGGCCCTGTTACAAACATATCTAAACTCATGTAAATTACCAATGCTTGGTGGTTCAACCGTTCAAGTGGTAAGGAGCTTGTTCCCCTTAAGCAAGGTCTCGAGTTCAAGCCTTGTGAATGGAGCAGCCATCATTGGGAGAGCTTGCCCTTCGAATGGGATCCGACCCGACTCGAGGGATTA